AGTGGTGGATTCAGAGCTCTCGCTAGCGGGATCACGACCCTCGCTACCGGAGCCCTCGTCATCCGAGTCGTTCATGGTGGTCCGGACCAAGTTGGCAACTTCACCCTTCATGGCCAAAAGTTGCTCGTAGGTTCCCTTCTCCACCAAGGTCTTGTTGCGAAGCAGCCCGATGAAGTCCGCTTCCTTCAGGACAGGAATGGCGTTCGTTGCGAGGATTCTTGTCTTGCTGCCGAGAATACCGTTGCGACCCAAAACCTGGTTGATGAGATGGCGACCCACATGCTGGTCGACCGCAGACAGAACATCGTCGAGAAGATAAATATCCGCACGAGCATACACAGCGCGGGCAAGGGTCAAGCGGGCTTTCTGACCACCGGAGAGAGAAATTCCTCTTTCTCCAACCTCGGTCTGATCACCGTCGGGTAGGTTCTTGAAGTCGTCGGTCAAAGCACAGGCTGCCACCGTAAGCTCGTAGAATTGTGGGTCCCACCGATGTCCGAAGACAATGTTCTCGCGGACGCTAGCATTCATGACCCAGGCCTGTTGCGCGACGTAGGCGATGCGGCCTCGCACAACCACCTCTCCTTCCGTTCTCCACAAGTCGCCCAAGAGCGCCTGAAGGAGAGAGGATTTTCCGGCACCAACGCGGCCAACGATACAACTCAGTTCGCCCTTGCGAGCACTAAAGTTGATGTTCTCGATGACATGCGTGCCTTCGTACCTATTCCAGGTGAAAGAGGCATCCTGAATCCGCACAGATTCATCTCCGACGTGGGCAACGGTCTCCTCGCGGGTGACAGCATCGGTCTGCAACTCCTCTGCAGTGAAGTAGTCCGTAAGACGCTTGACGGCCACCGAGGCTTCAATCAAAGCCGTGATAACCATTGGCAAGATCGACAGAGGAAACGTAAGGAGGTTGAACAGGGTCAGTGCTGGGAAGACAACGTCGGTGGTCAATGGTTTATCCGATGTCAAGGCATAGACAGTGAAACAGGAGCACGAGACGAGGAAAGGAGTGGACTGCCAGGTGAAGTTGGCGATCGACTGAGTCGCTCCAATTTTCCGAAGCGTGTTCAGCTCCAGATCGTTACGGATGTGACTAAGCTTATTCATGAATGCTGTGTTCCAAGCATAGAGCTTGATGCTCTTGATGTTGTTCAGAATCTCGGTCATGAGTCTAGACCGGGAATCCTTGTTCTTCATCTGGATAAGCTGGAGCTTCTTCATCATTCTTGCAATCACTCCGTTCAGAGGAATCATCAAGATCATCACACCGATACCTGCAAACATGCTGACACCGACAAGCTGATAAAGCGACAGCATGCACAAGGTGATCTGGAAGGGTGCAGACCAGAGCTGCACACCGAACTGGGTCAGATCAGACAGACGCTGCTGATCAACAGCCATGTGATTGACGATGTCACCCGTGGTCTTGGAGGAGCGACCCTCGCTTGACAGCTTCAGAGACTTGGCATAGATCATGGCAGTCAGAGCAGATTTGACGCGCATGCCAGTGTCGAATGCTCTTTGGAAATATTGGTGCAGGCACATGGTTTGCGAAACCGATACCAGGAACATGGCAAGCGCAATGGCGACACCTCTGATGATCGGCTCCGGCTCGGGAGTGCCATATGAGTTGATAAACTTGATCAGGAGACGCAGAAGCTGGGGCTGGACGAAGGCCAGAGAGTCACTGCCGCACTTGATGATCGCACCACGAATGAAGGGGCTACCAAAGGCTCTGAACAGAGCAAGAGATAGGGAGGGCTTGCTTTTCTGCAACTCTTCATTCCATTCTTCCTGCAGAGCGCCCCCAGTAACACCGGTGGTGTCCCGACGACGAAGATTCCATAGATCATCCTGGGTGAGGAAGTTGTTGTACCCGAACTTCATCATTGGGGTCATCCAACTGAAGGTGAGAACCGAGAAGATATCGGCGTATTCGTAAGGGCATTCATCCTCGTCTCCGAGCGCATCGTAGTCACTCTGCTTCTTCGGAACCAGATACTCGAGAGCAAATTCCAACAGCGCCAGGCCCAAGCTGACACTGAAGCAGACGAAGTATGGAAGACGGTCGTCGTACAATTTCCGTGCAATGAGCGACCGCAGTTTGATCCCATAGCCAATGGAGAAGAAAAGCCAGTAAAAGAGAACGACGCCATTGGGTTGTCTGCTGCGCCAATGTTCATGGTACTGCACTGCGAAAATCACCCCGAGAGAGATAAGGACAAGGACAGAGCTCCAGAACCGATAGTCGTCAAACCAGGTTTGCGGGTAGGATTCGATTTGTATGGCTGCCTGAAGAGCAGTGGTGAAGATCAAGGCGGACAGGACGGTCTAATAAAGCGATGAGGGTTAGATTACAATGAGATCCTTCAAACCGGGCGCGGGGGATTGTCGCACCAGTTTCGCATAGAAATGCCAGTTCTTAGAAACTGGCTGAGGCACTCTCTTCTTGAACAAGAGCCAGAGGGCTCCTGCACCTGCGATGATGCCCCATACCGCAACCAAGGAGACCCCAAAGTCGAGGAAACACGGGGTCAGGTCGAATCGAAACTGACTGAGAGGACCCCAGCCTTCCGGGTCGTGGCAAAAGGGCTGCGGTTTGGGGGAAAGGAATGCTGAGTTCGGGGTGGACGACAGCAGAGACCCCCGGCTGGAATCCCCGAGGAAGGACTGGGAACCACCGCCTTCCAACATTTTCCCCGGCTGAAGGTTAAGTAACCGTATCCCAGCTCCTAGATCGCACGTCCTTTCGGACCGGCAAAGGAAATAGGAAAGCCAAGAACAAACCCCAGGGTACCGTCTGGGGGAAAAGCCTGGAGGGTAAAAGATCGTGGGAAGAAGAGAAATGAAAGTTCTCGAGAGGGACGATAACGAGAGGGAAAGGAAAGGCTGATTTGTTCGTGAGATGCACGCTGCTTACTAAATGGGACGGTCAAAGCTTCTGCGCGATACGGAGACGTTACCGGAGCCCGGCCGTAGACCGAACTGCATGTACTGTACGACCGGCAAGTTTAGTTTCTGTACAGGTTCTGTGATAGGGAGCTGTTCAGATGGATGAGTCACAGTCCGTGACAATGGATCAAAAGATCAAAAAGGCATGGAATTCGAAAGTCGGGCAGAGTCGCATCTCTGCGCCTTGTTCGTGGAGAAGAAGAGGAAGAAGTCGAAATGACATAATCCGATCTGCTCGTGGTAATCGGTCTTGGCATCCTTGAATGGGTCTCCGACTCCTACTGGCCATCAGCCTGTCTCCAAGATACACCTCTTTGTCTTTCGGACCCCAATACTTCAAGGGCCGCTGTAGCTATGGTAGGTGCATAGATTGAATGAGATCTGGATTGCTCAAGCAAATATGAATGCCCACTCATACTCACTCAAGACTTCTTTTGCACAACGTGCCCTTTCAGCCTAGCTATCGGGAGATGCTAGGTATTTCCGCCCTTGATAGATTGACGACATGACGTCCACGTGCTTGACTTCTACTACAGTATGAGCTATGTACTGTACCACATTCTCGCATCTCATGCTGTGTACAGTACCACGAGTGAACAAGCAATGGTATGCAGAATTTCGGGTATACTGTACCTTAGCCGTTTCCCTCGTGTTTACAAGGCGTAGGCGTGCGACAGAGTGGGTGAGGGCTACAGATGCCGTCCAATAATAACTCCTTGTTCTAGTCAAGCAGCTTATGTATAAAGAAGCTAGGATTTCTTGAGTCTAGAACTACAGTGGTCTACGAGTAGCTAGACATAGCACAGCCAGCACGGTGCAGTGAGGGCTGTGGTTGTGATTACGGTACACACATGAACAAATAGTACTAGAATACTTCCCCAAAGAGACATGTCTTGCTTCTGCCTCCGTATCACACTCGATCTTGTTCAGAATGTCCCTGATGGCATCAAGTGACCGCTCGAGAAAAGTGAACCTATAGATTCCGGTAGTTTCCTCCGAGCAAAGTTTCGGTCCTTATCTCCGGGCGGGTCGAGGCTGGCCAGCGGGTCCCTCCTCCACGATCCAATCACACCCCGAAGATTCCGGAGCATGCCATCGTGGATTCGGATTGCGAGCCTCATCGTGCAGCATTAGCGAGAGTCACAGGGGCGAGACTGAGATCCTCAGAATCTTGTGCCTGACAAGAGATATAAGTCCGAATGGTAAGCTATGCTTGGACTTCACGCCAACAGGGGTCCTTTCCTGACAAGCACGATTGTCCGCATTGCCCATGAAATACGGAAGCTCGGCAGCCAAGCAGAGGCAAATCGGACGGATTACATCATTTATTGGTGTTCGGGCCCGACGATCTAGGCCTTATCTCCGGAGTACGCAATTCCGAGCGCAGATTGTCGGAGGCTGCTACTTTGTAGAGTATGTGATCTCCTCGTACTCACGTACTTGGTAGCTCAATTTCTGAGCAGATCAAAACTAATACAGCGGTCCAAAATGCCCGACTTGGGTCCAAGCATGAAAATCTGCTGCTCGCTGGCTGTCTCATACGCTGCGTCTTTTATTACATGTACTGTGTGATGTACAGCTTGAACTTTCCAGACAATTACGAAAGTCCGAGGCGAGACATGCAGCTAGAACCTGTCGAGGTAGAGATCGGCCCCTTTCTCTTGGAGATCGGCCTAGGCTATGAATCAGACACATTTAATTGTTGATGCAAATTAAGAGAGCTATCACTGGCATTCGACGAATCAGACTCAACAAAATCAAAGGACGTCGTGATAATTCAGAGCTATATGAGCAGCCTCCAGTCTCTCTTATAGATGAACTGAGTCGAATCCAGAGTTCAGCAGTATACGTATACCATGAGAACATAGTTACAACTGGAATAAACAGCCACTGCTGCTGCTGCTGTCAGCCCTCAGCTCTCGTCTGGCTCAAACAATGCAAACATTAGTAATTCTCGTGGGTGAAGGCGGTGAGAAGCCAGACGGCGGGGTCCATTCCGCAGCGTCATTCCGTCATTCCTTATGAATCATTCTAAAAACCCATCTACAGCAGATTCGATTTCTCAGTGGGTTGACAATGGTTGCAGAGTCTACGGTGGAAGACCTCCTGAAAAGGCCTCTTTACGGTGTGTAGACTACCTCCCCTTGGAACTCTGCACAACCCTTATCTTTCGTTTTCGCAACGCGCTTGCTGACACACATGAAGTTTATGATCTACCGCAGGAGCTTCTCTCCACCTTGACCACGAAAGGTGGCGACCAGCCGCTCTCAATCCAGAATGGGGATGACGTGACACCCGAAGAGTCGAAAGGCGAGGTATTGGAACATGCGGTCGCCACATCGAATAGCTGTCCCCTCTGCAAGGTCACATACCTCAATGTGCAGGAGCAACGCGACCATGTGCGATCGGACCATCACAAATACAACCTGAAAGTGCAGCTCAGGGGTGGTCCCACACTAGACGAAGTGCAGTTCTCGAAGGCGATCGGGGAGCTCGACGAGTCGATATCCGGGTCCGAGTCGTCGGAAGGGGAGAACGAGGAAGAGGAGACCCAGCTTACGGCCCTGCTGAAGAGACAGGCCAGGATAACGCAGGAAGCTCAGGAGGAAGAGGATTCGCCATCCAACAAGAAATCTGCGGGCCGACCTCCGCTGTTCTGGTTTTCAAGCGCCGCACTGCCGTCAAACGTCTCGCTCGGTGTCTACAGGGCTTTGTTCTCGGCTGTTGAGCAGGATGAGCCCCAGCACCTCGTCGCCTCCCTGCAGAAGAAGCAACTTGTGCCCATCAACGCACCCCGGAATGCTGCAGATGAGCAAGCGAAGCCCCCTCCTCCCAGTCCCCATATCTTCATGTGCATGATTGGTGGTGGTCACTTCGCCGCCATGATTGTATCACTGGCCCCGGAAATTCATCGGAGACAAGGTGGCATTGAGGATCGCCAGGCTCGGGTGATTGCCCACAAAACCTTCCATCGCTATACAACGAGAAGGAAGCAAGGTGGCTCGCAGTCTGCCAATGATGCTGCCAAGGGTGCCGCGCATTCGGCCGGTTCGAGCTTGAGACGATACAACGAAGCGGCGCTGGAGAAGGAAATTCGAGAGTTGCTGTCCGAGTGGAAGCAACTGATTGATGAGGCGGAGCTGCTGTTCGTTCGGGCGACGGGGAGCACAAACAGAAGAATTCTGTTCGAGAAGTACGACGGCCAGATGTTGAGACAGAATGACCCAAGGCTTCGAGGGTTCCCGTTCAGCACACGCCGGGCCACCCAAGCCGAGCTCATGCGGTGCTTTAAAGAGCTCACAAGGGTCAAAGTGAGCCAGGTAGACGAGGCCGCCCTTGCAGCTGCGGCGGCCAAAGCAAAGGAGGTGGCATCAAAGCCGTCGACACCACGGCCGCAGCAGCAGAAGCCCAAGATCTCGAAAGAGGAAGAGGAAGCCATTCTCCACACAACACAGATTCAAGCGCTGATCCGGCGCTCCAAAATCCCCGCTCTGATGGCATATCTCTCCAAGAATGCCATCCCATCATCCTTCACGTTCCGCCCCTCGGATTCCCAGCAAAACTTCCGCTGTCCAACGTCACTCCACTTGGCTGCCAACCTCAACTCGTCGGCCATGGTTCTAGCACTTCTGACGAAGGCCGATGCGGACCCGACGACCGTCAACTCCGAAGGAAGAACACCCTTTGAACTCGCAGGCGACCGTGCCACCCGCGACGCGTTCCGCATCGCTCGCCATGAGCTGGGCGAGTCGAAGTGGGACTGGACCGCCGCGAAGGTTCCGGCACCCATCTCCAAGGACGATGCAACCAGCCGGCTGGAGCAGGAGCGGAAAAGCGCAGAGGAGGAGGAGGCCACCCGACGCAAGGCCGCGATGGCGCGCCTGCAGAAAGAGGAGGCGGCCCGCGCGGCCGAACAAGCCTCCAGAAAGCCGGTTGGCCGTACCCTGGGGGCTATCGAGAAAACGGCGCAGGAGAAGATGGAGGAAGAGATGCGCGGGATGACGCCGGAGATGCGAATGCGACTGGAACGAGAGCGGCGCGCGCGAGCGGCGGAAGAGCGCTTTCGACGCATGCAGGGCGGCAGTTGAACTGCACCATGAAGTAGAATCCTGTGGCTTGACTTACTGTAGCGTTGCGAAGGGAGCATATGATACCTTGGTATGAATATAGAACGAATGGTTATGCCAGTAGCACGAGCAACTCGTCAGCCTTCACCCATGAAGTTACTACACACGAGTTCATTCCTAATACTATAACCAGCAAAGCCCCTCCAACCAACCACACACAACCTCTCATAGCCCCATCCCAACCAACTCACCACCACCACCACCACCATACTGATGATAATACATCACCTCCTCTTCGCCAAAACCAAGACAACAGGCCACGAAAACGCCCTCTTCACCCCCGTGCCCCCCATCTCCGCCGCCAACGCCCCCCAATCCCCCCTCGAGACCACCCCCCCCTCCACCCCCTCGACCCCTTCCAAAGGCAACAACCCCCTCACAAACCGCCTCAACTGACACACATTTCAATCCCGCCGCCACAGCCCCCGATCCTCGACCTCCACCACCACCTCCTCCCCGGCCCGCACGCGTTTCACCGGCTCAACCACAAACCCCCCGGCCCGGCCCGTGAAGAACCCCATCCTTGCCCACCCGCGATTCCAAGTATACCGCCGCACAGCCCGCCACTCCCCCGCCGCAAACGCCAGAGAATCCAACCAGCTAGCCGCGGCATCCGCTTCGCGCTTGTAGCTGGCGCGCTGCGTCTCGGTGGCCCGCCGGATGACGGACTGGTACAGCCGGTCCACGATCCCGTCGAGCAGCGGCTGGCATGTGGCTGCGTACGGTGCCTCGGAGAAGTGCGGGAGGCCGTAGAAGGAGATGGCCAGGGTGCCACCCCCTGAAGGTTTGAGGACGGTGGAGGGCGTGGAGGGCGGTGGCGGGCGGTGGTGGGGGAGGGGAGGAGCGGAAACAGGAGGGCGCCGAGGATGAGGTCGGCGGAGGCGCGGGGGAAGTGAGTGGCGAGGTGCTCGGCGCGGGTGAGGGTGTAGGTGAATTTTGTTGTGGTTGTGCTTGGGGAATTGGTGTGGTGGAGGTGCTGGGCGTAGGTGAGGTGGCGGGGGTCGATGTCGCTGACGTTGACGTGGGGGAATTGGTGAGAGAGGGCGTGCGCGACGTGGCCGGGGCCGGGGCCGATGTCGTGGGCGAGGGTGAAGGTTGGTGCTGTGGATGAGGGGGAGGCTGAGGTATGGTAGTCGTAGATTTGGTTGTAGAAGGAGGCTGGGTAGGTGGGACGTGTGCGGAGGTAGTGGTTCCAGTAGGTGGTTGTGTCGATGTTCGGGGAGACTTCCCAGCTGCGGTGGGGTGAGGTCGCAATTAGGGTTCTTCGGGGCGGTCTTTGCAGATTCGTAGCACTGGTTGGGGTGAGGTGCTGCTGGGAAATGATCCCTCGAACATATAGCTGTGATCTATGCTGGATACGGTGCATTGGTGGGTTTATGGGGCGTGGATAGGTTAGGGTGCTTGTCTTTCCACTCTTCAATGAAGGAATGGAATTTGTACTTAAGACTCTAGACTCAATGCCCTTTTATTGCAACAGACGAGGCTTTAGGAGTTGGGCACGCGAACCATGGATAATGCAGCTTCATGCTCTGATTCACGCCAAGTTGTCCAGCCACTCGTAGATCCATGCATTCGTCTATCTGGTGGCGGTCAACTGCATGTGTGAACCATCGGCTTAGAACGAGTAGCATTAGTTCTTGTCTCCGTTGGCAGAGTTGTTGTCTCCAAATTGACTTTTACCTGAACTGGTAGGACGCAAACTGAATTAGAGAGACAAGAGTCGATTACTTCACGACTAGCATTAGGGCAAGAAGACCTGCCCTGATCCGTAGGGTAAGGACTCCGATAAGCTTCGAACAATGAAACAAGACATTTAAGCTATCTAGGTATGTATCGGCCATAGCAATGGTAAAGCATGGACACGATCAGAAACTTATGCCCCTGTGGCTTCGGCGGGCTGAGCAGTTCGATGGAGTACTCAAATATGGTACATGACTTGAGGGCGTATCCAGACCCATCCGCGGGATCCAAACTGTGAGCTAAAAGCCCTAGCTAGCATGTAAAAGAAAATTTAAGATTAGCGTCCATCCGATGTCAGCTAACGGCTTAGGTACACCAATCTGAGGACAGGCTGATTCAAGTAGATCTTAACGAGAGTACGATGATTGAATCACCATGAACCAAAGTATGAGAACAAACAATAGAAGGACTCCTCAATAACCTTCAGCACAGCCCCGTCCCCTCCGCCTTCCAGAGTCTTCACATACTCAAAGCTCAAGAAACACGTTCTGCAGGAACGAAGATGCGTGTCAGCTGATGAAAACCCCAAAGACAGGCAAAACCCACCGAAATTGTCTCCAACAGCATATTCCACCTCATTCATCAACCGCCAAAGCAATCACCTCACTGGCATTCCATAGCCGGAGTCCCAGCACCACACTGGCAGCCCGACTTGCCCGCCTCGGCCATACAGACACACCCATCAGACAGGGCATCGGTACCCTCAGTGTCAAATCCCACGCCGGAGCAGGAAGAGCCCGTGCAGCATTGGTTGATCAGGGACTGGGCGTAGCCGTGGATGTAGGCAACATCGACCGCGTCTCCCTGTGGGAAGAAGGAGAAGGTGCAGGAGCCGGATGTCCAGTAGGTGTTGTCGTTGCCGCTGACGGTGCCGGAGGTGGGGATCAGGGCAAAGGCCGCGTAGCAGTCGGAGCTGGTTGCTTTGTCGCAGTCGCCGCAGGTGATGGTCGAACCGGCGAAAGTGGTCGTGGCCAGGGCGGCCAAGGTAAGCAAGTATTTGGGGTTCATGGTTGTAAAAATTGTATCAGGTGTATGCTCGAGTCGCGTGTGAAATGCAGAGTCTTATGGAAATCTGAGGTGGTTAATGAGTGTTGGACTTCTGGAGTTGTATGAGGGTATTTATACTTCTATGCCATACTGCTCTACTGCTCTACTGCCATACTGCCATACTGCTATACTGTTATACTGCTATAGAGTAACTATGTCTCCGACGGACGACCGGCCAACTTAGCGTCCTTCACAGAGGATTCAGCCCCCAAAGTACGGGGTTTCGCACCCCCACAGCCCGTTGGTAGAGAAAGACTAGAAACAGGTTATTCCCGGGGGGCCTGACTCCAAGGTATCACCCGGCTGTGTCAGACATAGATACTGGGCGATTGCCATCATATCCCATGCATGGCGAGAAACAATGTATAGTCGTGTAGCCTTCCGAGGAACGGATGTATTCTACTGTACCTTGTAGAGCTCAATTCGAATTGTAGACAAAGTGAGCCCCTTACGGACAGAAAGCCTTCATTGATCCCAGACGGCTACGGGAAAACACTTCAGCAATTGGGATATCCATTCATACATACAACAAGGAACCCCAAACATCGCAGTAGTATCCAACTCGGGATTCGGCCCTGGAACCCTATATAAGACTCAGTACTAAGCTTTAAGCCGCATACTAAGATAAGCTAGGCTTCGTCAACAAATCAAGCCTACCGAAAGACTGCCCCACAAGTCCGCCCAGCCTATAAGAGCCTGTACATAGAGTACATAGAAGTCGCCGGGGTGGATAAGCAAGCCCCTGCGTACGGGCAGACGGCGGCTTATCTGTTCGACCGTCCATCCTTCGGACGACACCTCAAAGCCTTCAGTAGGTCGGATTAGTCGAGCGACCCAATCATACCTCTTGCTTGCAGAATGGGCCTATCCACAAACCAAGGCTGCATCAAAATACACCCGTTCCAATGTTTTGGGATAGCTGGGCAGAGCTTAGTCCTTTCTTGGGCTCAACTATAGAAGCATAAGTCTATCCGGCATGTCCCGGCTTCTGGTACCAGGGGTCTTCGGCAAACCTGCCAGCGCAGGGTCAGGGTCTCCACCGAAATACCAGCATAATCTGCACGTGGCTTATTAGAATTAGAATATATGTCCCTTTTACCTGAATAGTGTCGATTTTCGCCAATGAATATTCATACTAGAGTCTTGGTAGAGAAGCTTTGCTGTTTTCGGGACCTGGAAGGCATTCCAACATTCCAAGTACTGAGTTCGAAGTAGACGTACTATACATCTGACTTCTTGAGACTCGTGCTGCCAGCGGGTCAGCTTAGGGTTGGCCTTCGTAGTGTACAGCGAACGCGTGAGGTCATACCAGCACATTATCCCTATACCAGAGCTTGTCTTTTGTCTGATATAGATTATTGCTAGGCAATCATCCTGTGTACAGCACGCTGCGTGAGATGCCCCTCGTACCGTACTCGACATCATCCAATCTCTGAAAGAGACGCTGCTAAGTTACCTCGGCTTACAAATTGCGGTATCAATCGCGCGGTATACTGTACCGTATATACCTGCTGCTGGTGCTAGCTATTCTAATATACCCGATATCAAACGCGCGGAGCACGGTCTGCAGGGGTTATTAGTTTGATCCAGTCTTAGGGTTCGTGGACCTAGTGATCTTGTCGATGTACTTTACATGAGTACAGCATAAGGTATGATAATCTAAAGCATTGGAGCTTTTGTATAATCTCAACAAAATAGAACAAAAGCCCATCTCCGCTGTGAAACCTCCCACCGAGGAAACCGAGTATAGGGTAGAAAGGATCACGTTTAGAGACCTGAATTTCTGTGTCCATAAGCTTCGTACATACCTAAGAAAGTCAGCGAGTTCCGAGTCCAATTTCCTCATCTTCCCCCTATGTCTTCTTCCGGCGCACCTTTCCTCTTCTCCTCGTACAGTACCATTAGTATGTCGATAGCGTTGGCATATCCGATTCCCTTCCTTTGGCGTCCCAATCAGCAAAGCCCTCTCTGTCGTCTTAAATACACCCCTTCTTATTTTCGGGATTACTGTATTTGTATGCCAGAAAAGATTTCTGGGTCAAAAGACATGATTAATCGCAATGGTAAGTGCCGTTTCATCCCGCAGACACGTTCCAGAAGTAGAGGTTGGGGGGGAGGTTGAGTTAGCACCACAATAGGCAGCGTAATGCAAAGCTGCCCCGTCCGATCTCGAGATCACCGTATCGATGTGCTGGCCGGGTGGCGGGAGTTCTTGGAATGAAAGGGTCGAAGTCTCTCAGCATGGAGCACAGAGTCTTTTGGGTACATCGGACATCCGCAACGGCCGCCGTCTCGTACAGATCCCGAGTGAGAACGGTTGCTGCACACCAAGTTCCAAGTCCACGACGACACTGCCACTGTTAACTCCCCAGCATCAAGGGGCACAGGTTATTGAGCATCTTTTGCCACCAACGCGCTGGCAAACCCCATCACCTCGTTAGCTCTATTCAAACCTATTCGATCATCTTATCCTGTTTCAACTTACTGCTGATAGGAAATCTGAACTTCATTCTTTCAAGCCTATAAAGGATGTCAGCTTGTCATCCATATCACACAGTAACCCTAGAGGCGAGTTTGACTCGCATACCTGTTCCCCTTCAGCATCCTAAGGCAGCAGTAGGAGCATTTGAGTGTACAGTTATGAACGACGTAGAGAATGACAAAATTGTCGATCGGAATGATATGTGTTCCTGTCTTTGATTAGCCGAGGCGATAAATCTTTGGACAGCGATAGTCCAGTGAGCTGGTCTGCGGAGTGGTTATCAAGGTTGGAAAGGTTGATCCATAAAGTTTTTGATTTTCAAGACCTCAAACGTCGTAGTCAAAATTGAAAGAGTGATCCATAAGACGTTTTGGTTGATTCCGGAAGGCTTGAGAGATCTAAATAGGAAAGGAGAGATGAAGTTCATGAAGAGGAGGAAGATGGAAGGGAAGGACCTCCTGCCTCCGGAAAATGAAGCCATCCTCCGTTCCTGCCTTGTCAGCGTGTATGTAGTTAATGGCTCCTTTACTAACAGACAGTGAACGTTCTGCTTACCACCAATCAATGTATCGACATCAATCAATCAATTCACACAGATCAATGTACTTATAAACCAATGTATTCACACAAATGTCCCTCCCTGAAGCGCTAGCTTTGCAGTTCTATAACAGCCATCTTCAATTCACCCAACTGAGCTTATCCGAGTTCCATTAACTTAGTTAAGGTCGCTTAGTACAACCTAGAGCTAACTATGTAGGTGCTTAGAAAGATATTTGAAAAAGTGAAAAGGTACAGTACATGGAAGTTACCAAGAGTATACATATAAAGTACTCAAGCAGATACTTAAACAGGCGGCCAAAAGTACTCCAAAAGGTGTAAGTAAGGGCCCTGCTGGCCCCACTAAGGGCACCTCCACCACGCCTCTGGCCAGTGGAAATCACCTGCAGGACAGGCCCTCGGATCTGTAATCTAAATCTATATCCCGGATCTGCAGAAGTTACATACATAAGTCAAAAGAACAGGCGTCGACCGTAGCGGGGGAAGGTGCGCAATGACCTCGAGAACAACAACACCACCAACGGCAGCGCAGCCCGTCACAACCCCCCGCTTACCTTCCGATTGGCCTTGGCCTGCATCCGCCGCATGGCCTCCCGATGCAACTCACTCATGTCGCCGCCGCGCGGCGAGCCTTCCCCTGCAGCGGAAGCGTGGCGGTGGTGGACCAACGAACTGTGCCGCTGCAGAGACTGGACGTAGGGGGGCGGGCTGCGATCGACTCCCGTGGCGATGCCCACGGGCCCATCCGGTTGTTTTGCTAGTGGATTCCGTTTGTCCCGCAGATCCTCCAGGATCGATTCGCGCCAGGCCGCCATCGCAGCCGGCATGTTGCTGGAGGATTGGCCGTTGCTGGGGTGTCTTCTGGGTACTGCTGGTGGGCTGGGGATGTGTGCTTGCGATGGGCTCTGGATTGTCTGGTGTAGCAGTGTGCGGCGCTGGGACAGTGGCATGTTGTCGTCCGTGTCTTCGAGGTTGGGCCCGGCGAATGAGTACCGTGGTGGTTGGCTGTCGAGCGGTGCTTGCCAGGAGCCGGAGCTGTTCCGCGAGAAGGGATCGAAGTTCAGCGAGAAGGACGACAAACGGTTGCGCACCATATCCTCCCGCACGGCTATGAGTGGAGGCGGTCCTCGCCACCGTGGCTTAGGAGGCTCAGGCTCGTCTCTGGACTGTTCCGCCCCGACAGCATTACCAAGGTGCAACGGATCTGTTGGAGGAGGCGATGTCTTCTTCTTGGACCGGCTGGGATGAAGACCCTGGTGCAGATATGGGTCCCCTGACACTCGGTGACTCTTAGATCTGGACAGGTCTTTGGTCTTGCGTTCTACGGCCGGAGGCGGCTGCGCATTCAGCGGTGTCTGCAATAGTTCCTCCACGTTGACTGGTGCCGCAACTTCCTCCACGTCGGGAACAACTTCGGGTTCCTCCTCTTCCATAGGCTTGATCGGTTCGAGATCGGGCACTTCTGCATCAGCGAGATGTTTTGCCCACTCATTAGTGCGATACGATTGAACCACTTTGGATGTCTGCTTTGGCAGGTGTTTCACGGTTTTCTCATCGAGTTTGGGAGGCTCCGGAGGTTCCACGGGCTCTTCTTTCTTAGGTTTCGATTCGGTCTCATTAGGTCGAATTGATGCCGTGCTTTTGCTGCGAGTAGTGCCTGGGGTTTCGTTTTTGTCTGATGTCGATTGATGTGGCTGATCTAATGCGCTTTCTTGAGCTCCTTCCTTGACATTGGTAATGGGCTGTTCCGGCTTGTTCTCCGTAGGAAGAGGCGCCCCAGGTTGCTGTTTTTGAGGCGCTTTCGACTTTTTCTTTGATGACTTCTTCCCCTTCTTGCGCTTTGCGTTCTCTATTTTTGATTGAGAGGCTATAGACGTTTCGGCTTCTTTGCCTTCTTTCCTCTCGTTTGCTGGTTTCTCCTGGTGGTTGTCGAGTACCCGCTTTTGCTCGGCGATGATCTCTAAATTTTGTCCCGAAGTAGGGCTCTTTTCACCTTGCTCCGCCTCCGGATGTGTCTCCGGTACAATATCCTGTGGTTTCTCGTCTGTTGTTCCGGTCGTGGCCGCTGGCGGCTGCTTCTGAACATCTTTATGCTCAGGTTCATCACCCTGCTCGTTTGTGGACTCGGTTTTCGGTGCTGTCTCAATTGTCTGGGGTTCGTGCTTGACATCCACAGATCTGTTCTCTCTTTCCTCACTCTGTGAAGTATTGCTGCCAGACTCTTTGGCTTCAGTAGGCTCCTGGCTCTCCGGGTTTGCGCTATCTTTAATATCACGCTCATCTCCGGCGGGTGTAGTTTGACTCCCCTCGGAAGCCCGATCGCTGACAACATCCGGGATTCCATTGGAAGATGGAGCAGTACCATCCACCGAGACAAGCGCCTCCTTCGACTCCGAGCGAAGAAGTTCATTACCACCAGCTTCCTCAGCCTTTCCCACCAACGAAGCCCCCGACATCCGTCTCGAGCGCACCGATCCCGCCTCTGACCCAATAAGAGCAGTGACATCAGAGCTCCTATCGTCCTTCATGCGGGCCGCGGCCGCGCCATCAAATACCTTGAGCGGGACGGCACCGCTATCTTCACCCGCGCCCTCTGGCTGTCCGTCCCGACTGCCTGCGCTAGCGTCCGACGTATGTGAATCGGTATCGCTATCCTCACCGCGCTCCCTGCAGTCCGAGCATCGATATGAGCTGTAAGACGACTCCGAGATACTCCGGACCTCGATGGCATCGCCCTTCTCCATGGCGTCCATCTCGTCGACTGGTCGCTTGGAGTCCCCGGATAGCTCAGGGGTGCTCGACAACGGAGAGCCATCTCCGTAGGTGGCCTCCCACTCCTTCCGCTCCTTCATATTATCCTCTTCTAGTCGGCGGCCAACCTCGGCCTCGGCTTCTTCGTGGTGCTGTCGCTCCTGTTCGCGCTTCTCTTTCTCCTTCTGGCGCCGTTCGCGGACCACCTTCCATAGTCGAAGCTGGGAGACTACACCCAGAATGGCGACGATGACGGTGACGGCAAGTTCGACGCGGATGTTGCGCGTGACCGGGTAGGTGCTGGTGCCGAGCGGGAAGATGTCGCTGTTGAGGTCTAGAACGGCGAAAGCAAATCGCATGTCAGCTTTTCAATGCTTTACACACCGTACTCTGTCCCCACACCTTGTTTTAGTAACTAGACTGAAAACTCACCCCAGATGTAGAGCCAAAACTCCTTCAAGCCTGCGCGGCTGAAGCAATCGATCCCCAGCGCCACGGCGGTACCGCCAGATATCCCTGTAGATGCCATCAACCCGTACGGCCGGGTGTATTGACTGAAGGACATAGCGTAGAAGGCAGCCGACATGGCCCCGATAAATCCGCTCTTGGCGTTGGTGTCCGTCAGGAGGCCTCCCGACTTCAACGAGAGAAGCCACATACTAGTGCAGAAGCCACCCAAAAGGCAGCCAAGACCCTCCGTCAGTTCCTTGAATACGATAGCTAACGCTCCAAATGTTGCGCCGGTAAAGACGATAGCGACCAGGTATGCGCCCTGGACGGCGACTCGCACTGGCGGACTCATCACGTAGACGATGAGAACCTGGGAAAAGGGCAGATAGTTAGAAATGCAGAGCCAGATATGTATCGGTAGTAGTTCTTTGAGACCCTACAGTAACTCCAAGACTGGTTAAGAATGCCGTGGATAGGAAGACTTGAATCCTAAAAGTGAGGGGTCAGTCTGTCTGTGTGTGTGGCTGAAACTGCGCTATCGAATCCGGCGATGACCAACCAAAGGTTTTGAATTCCGATCAATGCGAGAACAGCTCCGGCAGCAAGAAGGATAAAGCCACCGATACCCAGAGCTGGGGTGACTTCAGGCTGCAATGGAAGATCATTCGGATTGGTGGGCGCCTTGTTGTCTATCTCACGCAGTCAGGTCAGCTTGGAGGACACAAACAACCACGGCCCGATAAAGTCCAACGCGGCGACCGCAAACTCGGAGAGAAAAGACCTACCATCGTTTGTCACAGATGAATTCAATGAGGTAAGAGTTGTGGAGGCTGGGATGGTGGCGTTGGTCGTCCTCGTCGCGTTACTTGCCACTTCCGTCGCATGGCTAATCGCACTTATTGTCGTGCTGCCATCAACGGCTTGCGTGGTGCTGCTCGGAGGAGGCTCGTCTCTGGCAGTGATGAGGCCATTGAGGGCTTCGCGTGGGGTGTGCGGGATTTGTGCTGAGACAACGAAGAATAGACTTGGCACAAAGTAAACGGCCAGCGTTAGCAGGAAGAAGAGGCGCATGGCGGGTGGCTTGGATGAATCGATGAGACTCGAATGTATTTCAAGACCCAATAGGCGGCCAATGGGGATGTTATCGGGTCCAGATTGATTTGTGGCCCTCTAGGAAAATGCCAGCCAATGTCCGGGAGATGCGATCGAGCTGCCTGGCGGTTGCTATTCACATAACTGTCATGTAGGTCGCCGACAGCTGGAAAGGCAGTATGGTCACCTGTCAGGATTGACTGGAGACACGCAAGTAGGTCCGGGAAACGTGTCTGTAGATTCTGAGACAAGGTGGTCGCTTACATATAATTTCAATTGCCACTATCTACTATATGTATCCATTGGAGGAGACGGAAAGGTATGAACGCGAAGGCTTGGACCTAGCATATCTGCACGGGACTTGGAGGGACGCCGTCATTGATTCGAGCTCAACCCTAGTCAGATAGTCGAGCACGCCTTCATCCAGAGCTCCAGAAGGAAATAGACTAAGTGCACGGCAGACGCGAGATGGCCCACTTTTTGGAGTTTGAAAGGCAAAAAGAGCAAAGTAGTCGCATGGTCGTACATGATAATTGAAATTATTTGGCAAGGATCCGCCCCCTGGTGTTCATCATCTGAAATCTTTCCGGGAGGAGATCGTGCGAGACTTGATAACGGCAAGCAGCCCAGTCAACAAACGAATCCAAGGGAAGACACACAATAGGCGCACCTAAGAGATATTTTGAAGTGCTAGGCTCAAACCCATGGCCATTGAGATGAGGGTACACCGCTGTCGATTGGTTTAGTAAGTTCTTTGTCCGGAAAAAAAGTTTTGGAAGAGGCTTGCCAGCCTCGGCGCCATAGCATGCCATATACGAGAGGAGCGGCATGGTCTGTTTCATTGGATCCGATGAGCCCAACGATTGGCTTCGCCCTAGAGAATTATGACCTGTTGCGCGAGGAAGATACCTAGCGTTGTGCTCGTCTCTTGTGGCCTTCTCCGGGCTAAATTAGGATTCCGATAATTAGTGCTAGACTCCCATGTCGTACGGAAGAAAGAAGGATCTGGGGGAGCTGATCAAGTTCATCCGTCACTGATAGAGAAGAACAAGCCCACTAGCCGCTAGTGGTTAGGCTGTCCGTGTGATCGGCTGCAAGAAGCGACATATCTAATTTCCTTCGCCGAGCGTACAGCCTATCAGGCTTGAGCACCCGAGGGAACAATGCTCATTGGGACTGCAATGCCAGTCGCAAGACGCGCCGTCAGTGGACCATGGGTTTGCGGCTAATATCCGGCATTTAGTTTGACTCCCAGGGGTTTCCCGCAACTATCGAACCCTTTCAGCCATACAGGGCTACAGGCAACCTGGAAGGCAGTGTGGAGGCAGGCGGGTTCGACCCGATGGCTATGCCGAGGTGCAGTCTTGAGGTGCACAGTACCGTAGGCATGACGAACGCGGGTTCATCGATCGTCCCCAGGCTCCAGCGGTGTCGCAACCTGCATCGCCTGGCCGTACCAGCAGGTAGTCTATCAGGCGGAAGCTTTCGCGGAAGCGCTGGGTTCGCAATTTTCGGTCAAGCACGCATCAATAGAAGTATGCAGGATAAGTGCGGTGAGAAGGCTAAGTGACCGGCTAGTCTTGAAGAGAATGCATCCCTCTAGTAAGCGAGGGTTGGATGTATGCCTTGCGGTTTCCTCAGATGGAGCTGGGATCTGACGTCTCACAAGCGGAAGCTGCACGGAAAGTGGACTATTTCATGACCGACCGTCTGGCACGGCAAAGAATTTCCACGCTTTGGAGCAAGTTTTTTTATTTCTCAAAGTCTATGAATGATATATGCATGCACGAAACGCATATTTGGTAGAATATGGAAATGGGCCGAGTCTGGCCAGTGCAACCGGTGTGGAATTGGCGATGATGGCGCTGATGAGGAGGATGGAATGGGTGGGGAGGAAGGAAGACTATCAAGGGACAGATCAAATCACGTGCCGTGACCAAAACACGGCACGATGCGGAGATAGTACGAGGAATAGCAATTCTGCTGCTGCTCGTCCGCGTCAACAATCCCCCCTCTCACATCTCAAACAAGATTGCGCCTTAAAGCAAATCTCGATCTTGACCACATCATCCTCTCCGCCTACAACACACACATCATGTCTGCCTTCCTGTCTTCGCTGCGTCCTGCCATGCGCGCCACTTCCGGCGCCGCACAGGCTGCGCGTTCCTTCAGCTCCTCCTCGTCGCGCTCCGCCGCGAAGATGTTCATCACCGGCCGCCTCGCGACCGAACCCGAGTTACAAGTCACCGCCTCCGGCACGGAGATTGTCAAGTACTCTGTTGCCACGCAATACTACACCAAGGGGGAGAAGCCGACGAGCTACTTCAAGGTCTCGGTCTTCCCCGAAGGCGGCCAGAAGGATTTCATCCTCGGCCTGCCCAAGGGGTGAGTGTCCTATTCCTTCAAAGAGAGGCCATAAGCCTAGGCGAAACACGCGCTGCTGCTACTGCAATTCGCCAACTCTTTATCCAGCTAGCTAGGCAGAATGAATACTGACTTCGCATACCCTATCTAGAACTCTTGTTTTCGTTGAGGGAGACTGCGCCATGCGCACATATGAAGACTCCCACGGCAACAAGAGAACGTCGCTGAACATCCTTCAACGTGAGCGCCTCGCCCCTCGAACCCAACTCTCTGCAACCTCACTCTCCCTCCAAGCCAATCACCTCTACATTAGAAGACTAACAACCAATTTCCTATAGGCACTCTCGAGATCCTGAGACGCCCTTACGTTCCCACCGAGTCTGCCGAAGGCGACGAGCAGGGCACCAACTAAGCCCGAGTCTACCTCATGCACAAAACCCTTGCAAAGGCGCGGGCAATCCGTCGACACAAACAAGACCACATACACACCACACCCTACTCTGGATTCAATATCCGCTGCAAAATGAAAATAGGACAGGTAGTTCTTTGTGAGGAACCATTGCGCTTTCCATTTTGGGAGGAGTAGGATTGCGTATCCCTTGGAGATCAGGCCTTGGATTCATGTCGGTAGAACGGATGTGTTGCTTGCTGGTCGGCATCATTTATGTATCGCCCTCCCCCCCTTTCTCTGTGCCCGCTAAACCCGGGCGTTGACATGATAATATGTCTGTGGGTCCGCCTGCCTGCATGCCTGCCTGCCTGTTTTTCACGGTCACAGCCATGCATCTCCCCTTGTACTTATAGCGTGATATAATTAAAGTTGGGAACCAGTACTCTGTTCTTCCAGGAGGCGTGTCCGCGCTGCAGTATTTCTCGCCGCCCTCTTCTATTTATATCAATCTGCGGTCTGAGACTTTAGCATGAGATGGGTCTACCGCATGTGTGTTGCGTCAGCATTGCTGAAGGTTCTGTAAATGCACGTATACCACCTTTGTAGATCTTGGGAGGAAGCGTGGATCCGGTTCTCCCCATGCTCTGCAAGCATGGCTCTAGTGAAGATGCTCGGGCTGTGCTTGCATGGTAAACTCTCTTGCGCGTATCCGGTGAGTTGTCAATGCATTACGGCCGAGAGTCTCACCCGGTTGCTCCCGGTCACTCCGTGGTCTAATGGCTTACGAGCCTCGGATCTGCTGCTCATTGAAGAGTCTACTAGAGCATGCAAGATTGAGGTGATCGATTGGTAGTAGAATGAGATACGAAAGATACCTCGGATTTTCCACTATCCATCAACTAAACAGATTCACCTCGCGAATCCACAAAGCATCAACCGGCAATACGAGACGCCTTAAATATAAGGCTCAAGTTACTGTAGAGACCCGTAGAGAATAAAAATGGTCCCTTCCCCTACCCTGCCTTTTACTGCACAGATTCGCCCCATACCCACTCACCTCACACCCTCTCACCTCCTCGAAATCACGGCACCCTAAGCATACATCTCACTCTGCTGGGTGATGACTTGCTTGACTCGAATGTGGTCGTCCTTGAGCGGTGGGCTTCCAAGGTCGCTACTGTTCCGGCTTCGACTCACGCCTGCCCAGGCATTGGTCGAGACTGTGTTGGCAGTTATCTCGGCCAAGTGGTGGAGGGGGAGCATCCTATCTTTGCTAGGAGACCCTTTGAGTCGCCACACACGCTTGTACCATGGAGTACGCGCAGGTTGCTTGCTCTGAAGCGTGACCCCTTTTTCAACGTCTTGGGTGTCGTAACCTATGGGTAGACGGTGTGTGGTGTTGTTGACATTTGTTCTATCAAGGTTAGGGCTGGGGCTGGCTTCATTCTCTGCTGTGGAGAGCTTACCTGTTTGCAGATGTCCATTTCCAGTTGAAAAGTAACTTCGCTCGGCTACTTGTTGAGCCGGTCGAGTCGGCCGAACTGGTGCCAGAGGAGGTTCGTAGGCAGGGGAAGCAGTGTTGCATACCCAGGAAAACTAGGATCGCGCGGTACATTTTGGTGGCATCACGACCGCTGCCAAAGAAAAGAAAGAACATGAAGCCCGATGCGGCTGGGATCCAGCGGTCAAAGTATACTTCGCCCATTGCAGGGACTTTGATGATTGTGTTCCAGGTAGGAGGGTGGGCGCGATCCCAGGAGTACGCATGCCACGGGAGGGTACGCAAAATGTTGGTACACACGACGAAGGTCTGAACAGGGATGATAGCCAACAGCATGAGAAAGGCGAGTAAGAAAAGCCGCACGAATCGAGATTTGTTCATGTTGCTGTTCGAGGATTGGAGTATGTCTCCGAATTGACTTCGATACTTGCTGAGACGATGCAGAACGATCACTGATAACGTTAGAGCTTGATGTCTCGACAAATCAGCTAACATACCGCAATAGTAACCAGCGATCAGGCAGATGACCAGCGGCCAGATATAGGCCAGGACCAGGGTCACCCAAGTTTCATCGTAGCTGTTGACGCAACCAGAAATAGCAAAAAGAAAGTAACGGCCTCCCTGATAGATGATCTGTGTGATCATTGCGATTGCCGGGGCTATGAAGCAGAACAGCAGGGTCATTCCACGATTCCACCACCGCTGCGACTTGGTAGGAACTAAGGCCGCACGCCTGGTGTCCAGCACGCAGGCCAAACTGCGAAAGATACAAACGAGTGTCCCAGGAACAGCAATATAACTCGCAATCATAACCTTTCCCTCAAAATCACATAGACCCTTACCATTCCACCAAGAACTCACGTCATCGGTTGGCCAGAGTATGGCATTGATTATGTTGAAGACATTGAGAATCATGTACCAGCAGATCAGGCTGCTGGCAGCCACGTTGCGATTGTTCCAGTGCAGTACCAGTGGTACCACGCTCAACAGAAGAGAAACGAAGGATATAACCGGGAGGAGTACAGCTTGCATATAGAGCGGATAGACCGGAGCTTCTTGAGCACTCATCTTGCGAGCTAAGTGATATTAATTGCGTAGGAGGAGATGTCGATCGAGAACGGCAGTCTTGAAGCTATCCAGCTGCTTTTTCTGCTTGGTACAAATGCGTGGGAGAATGACTATGGGCTCTTGACTGGAGTATGAACGAAGGAGGATGGTTCTGGATCATCATGTTGGGTGCAGCAGCCCCATATAGACCCTATGTGACCTGGTCTCCTTAATAAGGAGTAACAGTAATGTCTTATTGACGGAACCTAGAATTGGACAGTTATGAGGGCATCAGAGCCTTCACTGAGGGTCTAATTGAGACATTATCTTGCCAATCGCCGAGGGGGTACAGAATCAGAGATTTGCAAAATGAGCCGGCAAGTGTTGTGACCATGCTATAGACGCCGCTGCGCCCAATCAAACGGACCATTTGGGCAACAGCCATTTTCACTGAGTCTCAAGAAATGAGTCGATACATCAATCCTTGTTTGGTCGTCTGAATAGAGGCTTTGAGAACACAATTGCAGTCATAAAATGGGGTGCTAAAGGAGGAGTTGCAGCCAGGATAGACACACTCATCCGACTTCTCTGCGCCGACCTTTCCTAATTCGGGTCTCAAAAGACTCAGCCAGTCAGCTCCACGGCTCGCCTCATTCCTGCTGTGTTCCATCCATTACACTCTCCATCTCAACAGGCCCTGTTTCATGCACTCGTTTACTATTTTCGGTGTTGACTGTGTCAAATGACTATTTTGCATCAGGGATGCATCATGCATCTAGTGGGACTGAGCTTTGCGGCCCCAGAGTACCGAAAACCATCGGCTAAATTTTGTATACAGTACAGAGCTCTCGCTTGTGGCACACTATCTCGGCAATATGCCAGCCCATGCCAGACTTTGTCGACCGCAGATCAGATCAAAAGTGCTTGTGACAAAGAAACCACAAAGGACTTTGTCACCCCTGCCTGAGCTTAATCGAGCTTGTCATTACAGTTCCAAAGGCGCACGAATTGAACTAACCGAACCCGGTGGAGGTACTTCAACTTCCTCTCTGTCTCTGTACCTCATTGAACAGACAGTCTCAAACGCCCAAAGTGGGCTTGTCATTCTTGCGCGCTTACTTCGGCTAATTGCGCTTTCATGAAGGGTCGTACAATCACTAATGACGACCCGTGCCAGATCGGATTGCCTAGCATGGAATAGCATAGAATAGCATGTCTACTCGCAATTCGCACCCATATGCTCGACCTTGAAAGGATCCCGAATGCTTGGTTATCGAATCGATATTTCTAGCTGCGGCCGCTCTGCTCAAAGTCGAATCCGCAGTTGGTAATACAGAGTCTACATATAATTCTCGTTAGCTATCATTGACAGTCATTTCTCACTTCGATATAGAATGCCATTATCGCGGTTGGTATTCCTCGCAGTGTCCCTCCTCATTTTGTTGTTCTTTCATCTTGATCTCCTGACATCGTGGTTCTGAAGGTTCTGGTTTTCGAAGGATGCCATCCTTGCGGTAAACAACTCCAGCGCCAACAGCCGCTGTGATCCGGGGAGCCATACAAGTCTGGTCCAATGATCTTCTGATGCCGGCTGCGAATCCTCAATTATTTCCGATTGCTGGTGTCTGTCTGTACACCGATACACTTGAGGATTTCGAAGCTCTGAGATATATCGCATTTGATCCCACAAGTTTGCCGACAAGAAGATGTTATTTGGTTATCTATAGCCTGAATGGCATAGTTCCCTTCCTTGCAAGGATTGTCTTTGTGTCTGACTTCGGAATGCGGGGTCTTTATCCATGCCACTGCACCAACTCGTTCCGTTTGCTACTATCGATTGTGACTGACAACATCAATGATCGCAACATACAGTACGTCATTGATATTATTATCTGGTGACCATTATGCGTCACTCAGCAAATCGAATCTGCTGGTATCTGCTAAGCTAATGGGTTTGTGCCCATGCTCTAATTTGATGTTTTGTGAGTCTTTTCTCCCTACCTTCACACAGGTGGAGCCCTGCGTCATGGCTAAGTAACTAAGACTTAAGCCTATAGGGACTAGTGCCCGCCCCCGGGCAGGCAGTGATCGATGATCGATTCGGGGTTCGAGCCAAGGCTGCTTTAGCGTCGTACAAGCAAGATACTCGATCTGCGTGGCTCTCCTCTCCTCCCTTCTTCTCTCCCTGCCACTCTTTCTCCTCTTCCCACCTCTGCTTTTCTCTTCGACTTCGCAGCCTTTTGAAACTACTACTGCACCGCTCGCCTCGACTGTGCGATGTCTGACCAACCTGGCCCATCGCGGTCCCTCCACACACAAGACCAGAGCTACAGCAGTCCTGGCGTGCTCTCCCCGGATTTCACTAACCTTCGCCACCGCGGTCCAGCCCGCTCTGCAACCTTTGCCGAGGGCACGACCTCCAACCTGCAAACCCAGCGCCGTAATTCCACATTATCCGACTCAGTCTCGGAGGCTCGCCATTCGATTCGGTCGTCCACGGATGATATCCTTTTCCCACGTGTGGCCAAGGGTGGTGACGTCGACCTGACAAATGAAGAATCACATTGGCACTCGGCTCCCTTGGGTTTGGCTTTACTGCCTGCCATTGCCGGGATCTTTTTCCAGAACGGGAGTGCCGTCGTTACCGACATCACCCTCCTTGTTCTCGCCGCCATCTTCCTCAACTGGTCAGTTCGATTACCATGGTAAGTACACAGCCCTCTCTACTAGCATGGTGCATCCTTTTGATTGAAAGTAACAGGGATTGGTATCGTTCCGCACAAGCTGTCCGGCAATCTAGCGACAAATACTTCGAGGCTACTGAGTTTCCATTGAGTTCAGAGCCAGATGACAGCCCCGACTCGGGCGATAAAGCCTCGTCACCGATTGCCCAGGAACAGCACCGCTCCAACAATGTCAATGCAGCCACGAAAGAGCTACAGATCCACGAGCTCGCCGCTCTGGCCTCTTGTTTTATCTTTCCATTGATTGGAACGTGGCTTTTGCACACTATCCGATCGAAGCTTTCTCGCCCATCAGAAGGTCTAGTCTCCAACTACAACTTGACCATCTTCCTCCTTGCCTCAGAAATCCGGCCCTTCTCGCATCTTCTTAAGATGGTTCAAGCACGCACCCTGCATCTTCAGCGCATCGTCGCATCGTCCACGGAAGACGAGGTTGACAAAGTCGATGTTCACAAAGTCCTCGATCTGAACAAACGTCTAGAAGAGCTCGAAGCTCACGTTGCCGAGACGGCCGCTGCACGACTCTCGGCCGACCCTGCAGCTCGTGCCGGGCAACCTTCGCAGAGCGATGCAACTAATGCCCTCGTCGACCAGGCTACCGCCGAGATGCGCAAGAGCATCCAATGGGACATCGATGCGCTGAACCGCGCCGTGCGTCGCTACGAGAAGCGCACCACCGTCTCCGCATACCAGACGGAAACGCGGTTCCAAGCCTTAGAGACCCGCGTGCACGACGCATTCACCCTGGCGGCTGCCGCACATCGTACAAAGCCCCAGGGTCTGATCAACATGCTTACTGGGTGGGTGTACACGGTCATTACCCTCCCTGGACAGGTGATCATTGGCATCGTCCCTCTCCCGATGCAGGTGGCCCGGCGTTGCCTGCGGTACTGCGGGGAGAAGGTGTTAACGAGACCGACCGGATCCGCCACACCACACAAGGGCAAAGTACCTAGGGAGCGCAAATCCCAGGCCTCAAAGGGAACGAGACGTTCGGCCCCGCAGAGCCACCCTGTCGAGACACGGACGCTTGACCCAATCAAGGAATACAAATAGATGATTCAGGTGGATGCAGCTTGGAAGCCCACCGCGACTTTTTTGGCCGGTCACGATGAAGGAAAAAAAGAGCGTCATATATTTCCTGAAATACTATTCTTTTCAGCGGCAACTTCGCATCAACTCCTTCACTCGTGATTTTCTGGGTTCGATTGGAAAGACTCGAAACATCAACCCGTGAACACCCTCGGTAGTAGAGAGAGAGATACACAAAACCCTCTTGGCTTTCAATCATCTTGTCCCACGCTTTTTCAAGATATCACCACTACGTATCTATGATGAAGTCTATAATTGTGTACTGTATAAATACTATACAATAAAATAGGAAATCAGCAATAGTCAGAACGAAAGAGAATTGGTCCGCCCCTTCGCCCACCTGCATGTATACTTCACTCCAAAATAATCCCAGGTCAAACTCCCATACGTCTCACCATGATATGTTCTCCACCGAGTTCGACAGCATTTTTCCCATGTTTGATAAACCAAACCTCTCGACCGCTTACCAAGAACGGCAAGATGGCCGAGTGGTCTAAGGCGCTGCACTCAAGGACCACCTCCTTCTTCGGATCTCCAAATCCGAGGAGCATTGCAGTCACGCAAGTGGCGTGGGTTCGAATCCCACTCTTGTCATTATTTTTTGCTTTTTTCTCTCAGTATGAGAGGATCCATTGTCTTTACGTCTGTCCCACGTGTTTCGACACTTTTTGGTTAACATCATGTCATATCTAACCCAGCTAGGTGGACGTTGACGACATGCTAGCCGCGGAAAGAAGCAGGCATAGAAACTCCCCCCCCCGGCAACTTGGTTAATATCGGAGCGCCTTAGTCGATGGGTTACTGCGTACCCACGAGCGATTCAATTCCTTGTGCCCACACCTGCTGGGTGTGGTATAAACAAGTGCGAGTTCGACGACACTCACTACGTCAAGGGATCCTCTGCCTCATGACTATACACTGTAACTGTCATTGACTTCCTTGATGGTGAACCCCGAGAAGTCGACGATGGTAGGCCCCGAGCCGTACCGGCGACCAGTAACGACATATCAGTATATTCTTCTGGAGTAAGCTTATTGGAAAATGATCTCAGCAGGCAGTAGCCTCAACACGTGTGTATAGACTCGCCGGTGGATGACCCCAACACCCATTCTCGGTGGCAGGATAGGACCCTTACTCGCATCCACGACC